CGACACAAATAAAATTTTGCAAAAACAAAATTTAGATTTACACGTCGCTTTCAATTTATTAAAGTCATTAGAATCATACATATCCAGTTTAAGAGAAAATTTCTCAATTTGCTTAGAAAAAGCAAAAAATATTATTGATGATTTTGAAATACCTGAGCAAAGGATAAAAAAAAGGAGTATAAAACTCATGCAACAAGAAGGACTCAGTAAAGGGATCAATTTTAGTTATGAAGAAAAATTAAAAATTGAAATTTTTTTACCTTTGATTGATACTTTAGTAAATCTTTTAAAAACAAGACAAGAGGCTTATAAGAAATTAAACGACAAATTCACTTTTTTTACAGTTTTACAAAACATGAATTATAATGAAATAGAAGAATCGTGTACAAATTTAGCTAATTCATACGAAGATGACATATGTAAAGAAGTTTTAATTTCCGAATGCATGCATTTTAAAAGCTATCTTTGTGAAGTTAAGAAATCTGAAGAAACTATTTCCATACCTGACTTATATTTATTAATAAGAAAGGATCTACTAATGTCAACTTTTCCGAATATTGAAATATGCTTGAGAATTTACTTAACTCTAATGATCTCTGTCTGTACTGATGAGCGATCCTTTTCAAAACTAAAATTGTTAAAAAATTTTCTCCGAAATTCTATGACACAATCAAGACTTAACTATTTATCGATTTTAAGTTTGGAATCAGAATTTTTACAAGCCTTAAGTTTTTAAGAATTGATATCAGATTTTGCTGCTAAAAAATCGAGACAAAAGTTGTAACAATAATTTTTTATTTTTCTCGCTGTAATAAAATACAGTTTGACAGTATGAATTTACGGTAATAGAGGTTATTCTTAAGTAATAATTTCTATTCAAATACAAAATAAATAACAAAAAAAATATGCTGAGACTTGGGGCCCCTATTTCCAGTCCAGTAAGCTGGGGCCCTGGGCCCAGGCCCCGTAGGCCCATGCCTAAAGACAGCTCTGCTTTTTTCAATTCTGATCTAAGGTACTCCACTCGCCTTCTAGCGCAGCATATACTCTGCCCTGCTTTAAGACATTCTTTTCTGGTACAATCATAGCAGCTCATGAAATGTATTTACAAATCTATCTTTGATCCATAATTTACAAATAGTTTAAAACATCCCTTATTTACCAACTTCCATAACCACGAAAAGAGTGACTGGAATTACAAATTCAGATAGTCACTTAGATAATACACTAAAATC